ATATCAGTTGCCATACATGATTCTTATTAAATACTAGTACAGTTGCATCTTTCTAGTCCACCTCTTTTTAATTTACTGGCTCCCGTTAGAATGATTGTCACAAAATGACAATCATGTAACTAAATTTTGATTAGCACTTTTTGGGGGGGGGTGATTGGGAATGGAACCAGTGGAGAGAGGGGAACCCTTGTCCCTTCTTCCACCTTCCACTTTCTCTTTGCAGATTGCTATAGATTGTCTCACTCCGTGAGATTATAAATTGAAGGAGGATAAGGCTGTGTTCTCCTTTCACTGTCAGAGACAGTAAGCCTCTGAACGCCAGTTGCTCAGATCCCGCTTTCAGGCTTCACTGAGAAGTTGCACAGGAAGGGGAAATAGAAAGAACTTGGAGTTTGACTTTAAGGATGATCAGTACCTTGGCTATTTAAATCGTGTAGATATTGCCTTCATGCTACGAGCTTGCAAATTACATTTATTTTGCAGGTGTAAACCAGTTGAATAATTCAGATGCCTTCCAGTAGAAACAGACAAATAAGTGTGGATTGTTTATATGGAAGTAAGAAAGTATACAGTATGTGAGATGTCCAAAAAACAAAAGAGGAATAAACATGTCTGTGTAACTAGGTATCTTAATTTAACATTTGTTTTAGAAACTAGGGCACTAGATAGGGTGAATTTTTCATGACAGGCTTCCAGATCTGAGAAGAATATAGGAGGCATTTGAAGTTGTATCAGATATTTAGACAAGGTAAAAACATAAGCAGTGGAAAGGGAAAGGAACCTATCTATGGTGATTAAATATGTTACATAATACTGGCATTAGAAATATTTTAGAATTGACTGCTAGCATTTGGCTTTATCATATATCAAGGGCACAAGTAATCAATAGCTGTTAAATATAGCAGATCCAAATTTGTAGTGGCTCATAAGACTACATCAGTCAGGGACCATATGCTGTTCAATTTTATTAATCCCTGTGACATTATACTTACAGTTCAAACAGGTTTCATGTATATAATACTGATTTAATGTTGTTCATAGAAAGCCACTAATAGAAAAATCCATTTCTATTGCCTTCTCTCCCTGTGTTTCTTGGGATACACTAAATGAATGGCCATGGGAACACAATGTATTTCTGAATAGCCATTGGAAAGCATTAAATCAAAGGTGGTTGCTTGCTCATCCAGAGGTTTTTAAGGGCCTGCCCTGCTGTACCCAACATCTACCCGCATATGCATAAAAATTGAGTTGTCAAATGGCCATAATAATGCATTAGGACAGCTTAGCTCTGTTGAATCAGCTACAGGCATTGTTGCCTTCTATGTCAGTGAAGTGTGTTACCAAATGGCCATAGGAATCTGTTGAGATGGGGAACTGAACTATGACCTGTATGAATCACCAGGAGCCCAACTATCTGTCAGAAATACATTTAGGCTATCCCACCCTGTGCCCTGCAGAGGAATACAGTGGTACCTCGGGTTAAGTACTTAATTCGTTCCGGAGGTCAGTTCTTAACCTGAAACTGTTCTTAACCTGAAGCACCACTTTAGCCAATGGGGCCTCCTGCTGCCACTGCACCGCCGGAGCACGATTTCTGTACTCACCCTGAAGTAAAGTTCTTAACCCAATGTACTATTTCTGGGTTAGCGGAGTCTGTAACCTGAAGTGCATGTAACCTGAAGCGTATGTAACCTGAGGTACCACTGTATACAGTACTTCTAGGATTTTGCCTAACAATATTCCAATGTCTTCTTAGCCAATCAGAAAGTGCATACGTTCTAGCTTTCCAGAACCTAGAGTCTAAGAGTATGTGTGCGACTGCACAGCTGAAGAAATAATTTAACTTTAATTAGCAAGGCAGTGGGATAGACTTGAAAACCTGGGATAGTGAGATAACACAGGTGCATCTGCTATTAGTGAGAGAGAAAACTACATTCTCATGAGCTGATTTACCCAGAAAGCTGAGCAAAAGGAGCCATCTTTTTAGAAAAGGCCTAAACATAAAAACCAGTTTTCTTGACAGGCCCCTCTCTACTCCCCACCAGCCATACTTCCACTACAGCAGCATACAGAAAAGGGCCTCTTGGGTAGATCTTCAGCAGCGAACAGGCTGGAAAGGGAGAAGGTGGTAATTTAGGTACATAGTCTCGTGATAAAGCCTGCTTTTCATAAACGACCATGGGAATGCCCTGGCATATGTTGTCAGTCCTGAGACATTTCTTGTAGGCTTTAATGCCTGCCATGTCAATCAGCCCAATTTTGAATGGCCGTTCCATCCAGCATTTTGGATTTTCCTCAATTGCTTCCTCTGACCCAAACCTGTCGCAGCCATCCTCATTTGCATAAAAATCAACAGAGTTTCCAGATGGCCACAGTAATGCATTGCAATGGGCTGGGATTCCACTCCTTGCCTTGTCAGCCTCCAAATGATGCTATACCAAAGTCTTGTCAACCTGAATGGCTATTAAAATGCAGAGGGTTGAATGGAGAAGGTAATGCTTGATCGGTGCTATATAAATGCATTGCTCGTGGTTAGGAATAGGTGAATCTATCAATTTCCGTTTCTCATTTTTCCAATTTTAAGTTCAGTTCTCCACATTTCTACAGCAGTTTGCAACTTTTGTTTTAAAAATCCTCATAAAAATTCATCAGCACATTTGTGTGAATTTCTCCTAACATACATGTGTTTGCATGCAATTTTGTCTAATACACACACATTTGAAAAACAAATTCCGTTAATATAATGCATTCTGAATGCTATTTTCTTCATTATTTACATTTTTATGGACACTTTATCTCAGTTTATGCATTTTTGTACGCATTACTTGTTGGAGAACTGCACTGTGAAATTCAGAGAAGTGTGGTTTTGAGTGAATTTTGTATTTCAGTTTACATGTTGTTTCGGAAAGTTTAAATTGGGTCGATTCACCTTCAGATGAGGACTGAATTGAATTTCTCCCCATCTCTCCTCACAGTGCGCATTAACTAACCACTACTTTGCATCGGGAGTTAACAGTTGTTGCTGAAGTTCCCATTGCAAAATATTATGTGGCCAGCCTGTCTCTAGTTTCATTCTTCATTTATGTAGGATGGTACACACTTCAGCTCTGTGATAGTGACATGATTATTACAGAGTTTACATACACAGAAACACATTTCGTTGGACTAAATTGAAATTAAGATTTGGCCAATAAGAAGCTGCCATATCCCAAGTCAGACCGTCTACCTCAGTAATGTTTACACTCAACTGACATCATCACATCTGGGTTACAAGTTTTCCCAGCCTACCTGGAGATGCCAGGAACTGAATCTGGAACCTTGCATGCGAACTGTTCCCAACTGACATCTATGAGCTATCAGCTCACATGTTACATTGACCCTAATAATGCAGATATACAGACTGTGCCCACATGTACAAAAACATGCCCTTACTTGCTGCCTGAATGCCATGATAGATGCCATGTCATTTGAGGTTAAGAGAAATGGAATCACTGGACTCAAAGCTGTTGTATAAAGTAGGGCAGGTTTCAATCTGTTCTGAGCAAAGTCTTGGTTTCCCCTGATCTGATTCCAAGTTTAGTCACAATTATGCATCCCACCCAGTCTCCTCAGCTGTTTATAGATAAGAATACGTGCTCACAGAGTACTTTTCCTTTCCATGCATACCCACCCAGTCAGTTCCTACTCCGCCCTCCATAACAAAAGAAAAAATACACAGTCTTTTACTACTTCTGCACAAACTAGTTTAACTTTAGCACACTGCCTTTAATTTCAGAAGGAACTGGTACTGGTTTCCTCTACTATCTTCCTCTCGATGAGTAGCTGGAAGTTATTCCATTTACCCTGCTGCAACACCCGCCCCCCCCTTGCAGAAAACAGTTAAGACAAGAGGGATGTTCCAGCCATGAATTTTTGCCCTGACTTACTGACCTACTTCTGAGCCCTCTGTAATAGAAGCTGACAAATGCTGGATCTAAAAAGAAATTCTAAAACATTCATTTAGAATGAAACACACAAACTCACTTCCCATCTAAACAGGACTGAAACAGGACTGAAATTGATGTGTGCAAACATAGACCTGGATCCAAAGAACTGCATGATCAGTTCTGTGTGCCAGAGGGATCTTTGAATTTCTGCTTCTCAAAGAGCAGCTCTCTTTTGAAGCAGAGAGCAGTTTAAAAAGTGGTTTCTGATTTGGTGTGGGACTAAAAAGTCATTGTGGGTATGCCCTAAGCCCTTTTGTGCACCTGAAATGGCCTTTTGGATCCATGCCACAATTAGCAACAAGGCAATCAGGGTGGTTGGGGGGAAAACCAGACAGGTTATTTGCATTTTTATGGCATGCACATACAAACACTTACATTTTTTTTAAAAAAATATCAAGTCAGTTAATTCAGAATTACAACTATCTGCTAAAATTTAGTAATCTCAGCCCTGTCTTTTCCTGCCCTTCTATCAGGTCTAAACTAGAGGTGACATTAACTGCATCAATGCAATTAAACTGCAAGTTTCTTGTTATGTAAATATTGGCCAAGGGGAAGCCTTGGCAGCTTTGGAAATTGAGTGGGGAAGGGAAATATAGCCATTTATTTCCCTGCCACAGCCTCTACAAAAGCCACCTGCTAAAACTCTTTGCCTCATCTCAAATGACCCTGAGCTTGCACAGTCTTACCCCCCCCCCGCTTGCTTTTTTACATAACAAAAAGCATGTAGGTTAATTGCATCTTGTCTAGCTTTATGTGTGCTTCGCACCTCTTTCCTGCCGGAGAGGTGGCTATTCATGACATAGAAGAATATGCAGAGATCTCCTTCAGTTTCTTTGTAGTAAATAAACACCCTCTGGAGGGAGGTTCTTATGAATAAATAGTTTAGGTGCAGACTGTTAAACTGGAGTGAGTGGTGCTGGTGTGAGCAATGGAATGTGTTAAATGACCTTAAGTTATGTTGAGCTTGATCAACACCCTTTTCTGTTGCATTAATGCCAGTGCATCTCGTTGCAGTTGAATTTAAACAAGTTGGTCTGGTAGACCACATGTGGCTGTCATTGCAAGACTGCGATAATGAAGGTGAGACCATTAGTTGTATAGACTCATAGCTCATGGACCAGAAGATAAAGACTAAAATCCATTTTTCTTATTAAAAATGGATATACTATGAAATGATTCCATCATAGTAGTAGTCTTAGCGCAAAACATTTTTACCATTATTGTGTTGTGTGGTCCCATATATTTCATTGGTCATTTTAGTTTCACATCCATCCATCCTAAGAGACATAGCAATTGGAGGATAAGGAGGAATACTACCTGTCTCCAATTTGTGAAATGAAGAAGTTCAGTAGAACATATTGTTATATCTGGTGACTCCAGCCCAGAGTTTTAGGGACGCTCTGATATGTGCCACAGCACTGGCATAGATTTCCCACAGCACTTAAAATTAAATAACAAAGCTCCAGGGATGTGTATGTTAAGTTGCCTTCTCCCTTTGAGCCTCTGAAGAAATATTCTCTAATCATACCTTCGTTTGCCCTAAAGTTTGAAGATTTCTTAGGACTCTTTGAGTCTTATTCCAAAGACCCATTGAACCATTCATGAAACTGCTTCAGTACTTTGCAAATCGACTGGTGACATCAACATGTATTTATATTTCCATTCTAATTATAGGTCACTTACTATGCACAGTTTACAATACGATAAATCCTAATACATAATCAAAATGCATAGATGTACAATAAGCACATAGCTTAAAAGCCCCTTACGTCAGGGCTATAGTTCAGTAGTAGATAATCTGATGTGCATGCAAAAGGTCCAGATTCTATGGTCATAAGGTCTCAGCATCTACTGTGACCGTAGAGCCACTGTCAGTCAGCATAGACATTACTGAACTAGATGGACCGCTGGTCTGATTCTGTATAAGTTCCTATGTTCCTACATGAGGACTGACTCATGAGACCATTTCAGTATGTGAAAGCTGTGAGGGAAAGCAGCTCTGCTCCTTTCCTTTCTGGGTATGGAAATTTTCTTGGAATCTTTTTAATGTGATTAAAAAGAGGGAAAGGGTCATAGATGAGGGGTGGCAGAGTATATATACTTTGCATTCAAAAACCTCAGCTTTAATCTCTAATGTCTCCAGTTAGGAAGTTTGTGGGTTCCAAATGATAGGATAGACATTGGCATGAGACCCTGGAGAACTTTTGCCTCATAGAGTAAACAATACTGGGCTGGATGGGCAAATACTTATTTAACATATTTTTAGACTGCCTTTTAGGGCCATACTCTCAGAAAGCAGCTTCCATCATGCATAAAAGACAATTCACATAGTGTTTCCTGGTATTATGTCAGCTTTCTATGTTTCTAATGGCAGACTACTGGCAGACTGGACTGGTTTGTTGTTGTGTTTTTAAAAAAGCCAACAAACTTAGTTATATGAGGAGTTCTGAGCTGAAATCTAGTCATGCTGGTGACAGAAATGCAAATGTCACTAAATAAGATTGCCCTGGTATAATAATAATAATAATAATAATAATAATAATAATAATAATAATAATAATAATAATAATTTATTTGTATCCTGCCCTCCCTGGCCAAAGCCGGGCTCAGAGCGGCTAACAACAGGTAAAAATAGCACAGTGTACATAAAATCGCAGTCAGTTAATTAAAATACATTCTAAAATCAATTCAGAATCAAATTAATGGCAACCGTTGGGTTAGAGTTCTGTGAAGATTATAGAAGGAGAGAGGGGGTCAGACTGGACTGTGCCTTGGCCAAAGGCCTGGTGGAACAGCTCCATCTTGCCAGCCCTGCGGAAAGATGTCAAGTTTCGCAGGGCCCTAGTCTCTAATATTTGGGCTTTCTAGTGGTATTCCTGGTAGACCTTGTAGTGAGTCACCCATAGCCTACTGTCCAACGTAGCTCAACTCTCTAATTAATTTTATGTTAATTAATTTGGTAATATTTAATTACTATTCCATTCTTGTCGAACACGTGGGCTGAATTTCCAGAAAAGTCTTCTTAAGTTTAACCTGGAGCTAGTTAAACTTGGAAATATACCAAGGGTTTGTTTTGTTTTTCAATTCCTTAAGCATATATAGCCCCAGATCCAGCAGAGTTAAGCATGCTTAATCCCATTGAAACTGTTAAGTTGTGGGTGAACATATCAGACGACACAGCGATTCTTCAAACAGCTCTTGTTTATTCAGAGGCCAGGACAGAACTGAGCTGAAGGGTTCAGTCAGCCTGCTTATATAGAGCTCCAGTACACATAATTGTAACAACTTTCTAAAACTATCCAATCACTGAACGTCACTTTTGATCCCTTATTTGCATAACTATCTACAGTAAACCCCTGCTGGCCCAGGGTGAGAACCTCAGTACATAACAGAAACCATGGCTAGTTCTGTGTAGGATTTAGGCGTCTGTTGGAGACAGCATCCACACTAGTAGTAGCATTATATCCTGTTCATTTTCCATCTCTTATCACATCAGTGGTGGCTTTAGCTGAATTCATTCCCCTGTGCATTTCCATGGTAATTGTCTAAAATGACACTGTGTCCATTTCTTTACAAAATGCATGGTGCAGGTTCATATTTATTTAACTATCACCTTCCAAACACAATTTCAATGTACCATTAAAACAGCTTTAAAAAGTGTTAAAAACAGCACAGAAAATAACAGTTTATGAATTTAAAAGCAGTGCAAAGTAGGCACCTCAGGCAGAGCCGAGACCTTTCCATACAGCTGGGAAAGTCTATCGGAACAAAAACATCTTCAAATGTTTCCAGAAAGCGCAGAGGGTGGGTTCCTGTTTTATCTCGACAGGAATGTTGTCCTACAAAACAGGTTCTTGTAGAATCGATGTAGTAGGTGCAGGGGTTTACATATAGGTTTATGAGAATAAACTTCTAGGTACACTAGTAATAGCAAAAATACCATTTTTTTAAACACACTTAAAGTTTTCTGAACTTCAATACAATATAATTTTAATTGAATTTAATTCAGTCTTGCTATTCTTAGCAAGAGCTGCCACTGTAACCAGATCTCATATAGATCTGTACTCCCCATCCTTTTCAGTATTGGTAGAGCATGGTTTTCTGATGCAGCCCATTGCAATTATTTGCAATGCGAGTGAGATGTAAATTCCTAGCACAAAACCTGCCAGCGTATCGTTTTGAAAGGAAGCTTATTTGAAAGCTGTAGTCTTTTTAATGCCCTTCATTCTCACTAATCAATAAAAAAGCAAGGAACTATATCTTCAACACAAGCAGAATCGTAGAAGGAAGTGCTTATTAGACATTGCACAGGGCAATGTGAGAGTAATGACCCTGCGTTTGAGGAATGCATCGTAAATCCTAGATTAAAATGCTGAATACAATTTATATTTCTCTTTCTGTCTCATGCCAGGAAGATGTATATGCTGTTCAAGGTTTCAGTGGGAGAGAACACCGTCAAGTAGCCTAAAATAGCCCATTACAGGCAAGGCCACTGCAAAAGAGTTTAAGGAAATCAGCAATCATTGCTGGCAGGGCATGAGGCTATTAACCCTGCCCATATTTTTACTGTCAGAAATGCTGAGTCTGTGGGTCATATCTTAACGTCCCACCCCACTAATTCATTTTATACTGAGATCAGTGTTAACACTTTTTCAAAAATTAAAGTGTGTACCATTCCATTTCCCTCTCTCACACACATACACTTTTATTTTATTAACTTGTAGATAGATTATTTAAGCTATTAAACATATGAATGAACACTATCAATAGCAATCACATTAATTATTCCAATTTGTCTCCTTAAATTATAAACTTTGTTTCTGTAGACGTTGAGAATATATGGCTTGGCAGTTAATAAGGAACGTGACTTTTATTAGTTGTACAAGAAACTGCATTTTAAAAAACACCACCACCACCACATGTGTCTCTTACATACTTATTTCTGTGTTGAGGACTGTGGACAAAAATGTTAACAATAATGATGCAGTAGTCTGATATTGTGACGTTATGGTAGGTTGTGTCTATAGCTCTACAATGGTTGTGTGTCTGGGGCAGTTCAAGAAAGACTAATAATGGGACTCAAGACTCTTGTGTTCTGCTCATTTCATCCATTGACAGGATATGTGACCTTGTTGGAAGATTCACTTAACCTTCCTGTGCATTGATTAATTAATGTGCGAATGGAGTGTAATCATTAGAAATTGTCTAAAGTTACACAGTAAGGGCTCCACACTAGATTACTACCTGTTATTTGGGCCTGAGCATTTGCTTCAGCTACCATGTAAGAAAACCAGCCAGAATCACATGCAGATAGGTTTAATGTTTATTGTTGGGTGTTTCATTTATCTTAGGGCAAGATTTATTTTGTTTCTTACATGCGTAGTCAAAACTGGGAAATTCAATCAATGTGGTGAGATCCTGTACAAATGTACCTGTGGATGGTTATACTGCAGGTAAAAGGATTCATAACTAAATGTATGGTTTCCTTTGCCATTAGAGAAAGTGGAGTGGACTGTCAGTATTCTACAAATTATACCTATAAACCAGAAGCTCTAAAGCATATTACTGATTGTCGTGCTCACAGCTGAACGTTCTGCATAGGAAGTGGGGAATAGTAATGTACGTGGAGAGCCAACATGATAGAAGATAAGCGGAAGTGTTTGTGCTGCTATTCATGCCTCTTCTATAGCATACACCATACAATGATGTTTCTTTAACGTTTTGAACAAGTCTCACTTCTAATGTTACTCACCTTTCTGTCCTCATCTCTAGTATATTGTCAGCACATGGAGGCATAATCCATCACACATAGCTATGTGGATGTGTGTGCTGCTCTCATACTCAGCGTTCTCCCCTCTTTCTCCCCTTCCAGCCAGAATCTGGCCCTTTCCACTTCACCCCACCAACCAGTTAAAAAATAAAATAGCAAGAATGTAGCAGTTGTCTTCAGTGTTCAACACAGCTGCTGGTAGCTGTGATTACAAAAACCATACAGATTGTGGGTACGTTTAAGAAAACAGTGTGTCCCACAATTTGAGAAACACTATCATAAGTTTAAAAATACCGTATTTTTCGCTCTA